AAACAAGTTGAAACTTCATGAGGATTTTTATGGAATATATAAGAATTATTGGAGCCAATAAGTACCAGAGGGGGCCCACCAGGTGGGCACAACCCACCTGGGCGCGCCCTGGTGGGTTGTGCTCTCCTCGGCCCACCTCCGGTTGCCCATCTTTTGGTATATAAGTCATTTTGACCTAGAGAAAATAAGAGGAGGACTTTCGGGACGAAGCGCCGCCGCCTCGAGGCGGAACTTGGGCAGGAGCACTTTTGCCCTCCGACGGAGCGATTCCGTCGGGGGAACTTCCCTCTCGGAGGGGAAAATCATTGTCATCATCATCACCAACAACTCTTCCATCTTGGGGAGGGCAATCCACATCAACATCTTCAACAACACCATCTCCTCTCAAACCCTAGTTCATCTCTTGTGTTCAATCTTATTACCAGAACTATAGATTGGTACTTGTGGATGACTAGTAGTGTTAATTACATCTTGTAGTTGATTACTATATGGTTTATTTGGTGGAAGATTATATGTTCAGATCCAATATGCTATTTAATACTCCTCTGATCATGAGCATGTTTATCATTTGTGAGTAGTTACCTTTGTTCTTGAGGTCACGGGAGAAATCATGTTGCAAGTAATCATGTGAATTTGATATGTGTTTGATATTTTGATAGTATGTATGTTGTGATTCCCTTAGTGGTGTCATGTGAACGTCGACTACATGACACTTTACCATATTTGGGCCTAAGGGAATGCATTGTGGAGTAGCAATTAGATGATGGGTTGCTAGAGTGACAGAAACTTAAACCCCAGTTTATGCGCTATTCCATAAGGGACCGATTGGATCCAAAAGTTTAATGCTATGGTTAGAATTTATTCTTAATATTTTTCTCATAGTTGCGGATGCTTGCAGGAGGGTTAATCATAAGTAGGATGTTTGTCAAGTAAGAACAATACCTAATCGCCGGTCCACCCACATATCAAATTATCAAAGTACCGAAAACGAATTGAACCAACATGATGAAAGTGACTAGATGAAATTCCCGTGTATCCTCAAGAACGCTTTTCTTATCATAAGAGACCGTTTTGGCCTGTCATTTGCCTCAAAAGGATTGGGCTACCTTGCTGCACTTTTGTTACTACCATCGTTACTTGCTCGTTACAAATTGTCTTACTATCAAACTACTCTGCTACTTCCAATTTCAGCACTTGCAAACATTACCTTACTGAAAAGCACTTGTCATTTTCTTCTGCTCCTCGTTGGGTTCGACACTCTTACTTATGAAAAGAGCTACAATTGATCCCCTATACTTGTGGGCCATCAGGCCTCGTTTAAGAGCGAAGGCCGGATAAGGAACTGAGGTCCCGCGGAGCTAGGCATGGTATATGACACCTGGCCGTGCTCAATGAGCGCAGTCCTTGATAGTTCGGAGCTAGCCTCCAGGGGCAAGATCGGTTCTCCGATGATAGGAAGAGTCCTGCTTGATTCCAGGCTTGCCGACAATGTGGTCGCCTCTGGATCTCCGGCAAAGGGCTCTGTAGTTGAAGAGAGTCCGATGGGTTTAAAACTCCCATCTTTGGATGAGGTGGCCTGGCCTGGATCTAGGGCCAGGGCAGGGATGATGGTTGGTCTTTGGACGGTGCCTGATGGTGAATCCGATGGGTTTCCTTCCTTGAGGTGAGGAGTAGTGGCCAAGGCCGTGAACCCTTCGAAGATCAAGTCTCCTCGGATATCAGCGACATAATTTAGACTCCCGAATCTGATCTGATGACCGGGGGCGTAGCTAACAATCTGTTCGAGGTGACCAATCGAATTGGCCTGCAGAGTGAAGCCGCCGAACACAAAAGCTGACCAGGGAGAAAAGTTTCACCGAAGACAACATCGTTGTTGTCGACCGAACAAGCCATCGAACCTTCTGCTGACGACACAGTGGAACTCTCAATGAAAGTATCAATGTCGGTGTCAAAACCAGCCGATCTCGAGTAGGGGGTCCCGAACTGTGCGTCTGAGAATCGAAGGTAACAAGGAACACAGGGAACACGGTGCTTACCCAGGTTCGGGCTCTCTTAATGGAGGTAAAACCCTACGTCTTGCTTGATTGTATTTGATGAGTATAGGGGTTACAAGAGTCGATCTACCTCGAGATCATAATAGTTAAACCCTAGATGTTTAGCCTGTATGAATTCTGGTAGCCTCTATTGACTAACCCCTCCGGTTTATATAGACACCGGAAGGACCTGGGGTTGTACAGAGTCGGTTTACGGAGAAAGAAAATTATACATCCGGATGCCAATCTTGCCATCCACGCAAAGGAGAGTCCTATCCGAACACGGGGGAAGGACTTCTACCTTGTATCTTAACGGCCCATGCCCATATCACACAGCCCAGACACTCGAGGACCCCTTAGTCCAGGACTCCCTCAACGTGCACCTCCCTAATAACTGGCATCTCTCCGCCGACCGGGTGGCGATCCCGTCGGTCCCGACGAGCGGCCGTGCGCGCCGCGAGGAAATCGAGCGTCGCCGCCTCCTGCCAGACGACCTCTACTACGACCCCAGGTACTCCGTCGACTCCGACCTTTGGGACACGTGGTTTTGGGATGAGCACGACACGCGTGCACCTTCATCTTCGTTGGCACCTCGTTGGGGCCACGACAGCCACGTGAGCGCCGTGCGCGCGCTCTGAGCCCTCCCCAAGTGCGCGGGCGTAGGATGGTGCGCGGCATCACACCGACGTCATCGCCGTCACCCTCTCCGTCGCCACCACCTCTTCCTCGCATGACAGTGGAGGAGGAGGCCCGACTCCTTCAACGTGTCATGGAAGACTCCCTGAACACGTACGACAAGCGCCAGTGGGAGGCCCCGGAGACCATGATGGCCCTCTCTGCCGTCGGCGACGTGGCCGTGCTGGAGCTGGAGATGGTGAGGAGGGAGGAGGTGCTGGAGGAGGAGCCCGTCGCCGCGTTCCACCTGGGCCTGGTGGGCTAGCGGTGGAGTTGGTCGTGCACGGCTCTGGAGATGGCCGACGCCGTGGGGGGCGTGAACTGGTGCGCCACGCCTCCGCGTTCACCGGAACGGGAGGCGTCGCCATGAGAGGAGGTGGTGCAGGCACCTCCCGCCTTCCGACAACTTCCTGTGTACCAGGCACCGCCATCCCACCTGTGGACGCCGCCGACCTACGTCAACCTCGTCAGCGGCGACGAAAACGGCGGCCACTGAAAAGACGGTGATGGCCACGACATCGACGGGCACGTCAGGAGCGCGCGGACGGCGGATTTCTTTTGTTTTTTATGTTAAATTATGTCTATGTGAACTGTGGAACTGGGCCGTTTTGTGGCCGTGATGTTTAATTATGTTTTATGTTTTTACACTTGCATTTATTTTATTTTATTGGCACTTTGTTTTTGTTTTTGTGTTTTTTAATCACGTCCATCCCGGACATGATTTGGGTGTGACCACGCATTGGGACACTGACAACTCAACAGCCCTAAGCAGACATAGACGACCCATTACCGCTTTAAACGAACGAAAACAGACTAAACCAGACGTCCGTTTAAGGTCGTGCGCTGGAGTTGGTCTCACACCCGGACCGGACGGACGGAGCAGCAGCACAGGGTGTGGCCTGACACGTGAGCGACCAGGATCTGCCACCACTGCCGGAGCGCGCTGGTCGCAGCCGATCCGAATCCCTCCGCCCGAATATCCCAGCCCCCATCCCCTCTGCCTCCCTCCCGCTGCTTGCTTTGCTATCCAATCCCGCTCGTTGTTTCCTTCGCCACTCTCTCTCCCCCGCTCTCTCTACCTCACCCTCCGTCCTCCTCCCCGTCTCGCGGCACGGCCAGAGGAGGCCGCTCGCTCGGGTCTAGCGCCTCAGCCTCGGGCCGCCGGCGGTTGTGTCCCAGCGACGCGGCAGATTCCTCGAGCAGTTTTGGTGAGAACTCGATTCCTTCCCCCATCTTCCTCTACCTTACGGCTGGGATTGCTGTGCTCGGTCTGTGTGTTCAGGTGTTAGCTCCACAGGAAGGGGACATAAGTAGATAATGTCTTGCAAGCTTGACTTTGTTTTGTTCTACAAACTTGTTTTTGTGGGGAAAATATACAGTCAACGAACTCCACAGAGGTGAAATCGTACATGGGATGAAACCTTGGTGTTTGGGATGAAGATCCATCATGTCACTGGGATGCATATATTCATTATGGGATCTGTGATGATAGCCATATAGGAATGGCCGCAACAGGAATATCTGCCGATATCTTACTTAAACCTGTCCTGATCTCCAGTGTGCATTTCATGTCTTGTAGAAACCTTTGTTCGTCGTCTGCGAGGTAAATGCTCGCTTTTGTATTTGTATGTGGTGTGCAACATCACAGTAAAATCCAGGCCGCTGATTCACGGAAAATATTTGATCAAGTTCTATGCAATTACACAGCATTGAACCTGGCCCAGCACAAATGATTACCAATTGCGATAGAATTCTTGTAGACTAACTTTGGGAGAAATCAAATAGCTAATAGATAATCGATTTAATTAAACCTATTCAAATACTTTTTCATGTCAACCTGGCTAGAACTGGCAAGCCGTTGCTAATTCATTTTGTTTCCTTGTCTGAAACTCACAAGACAGCTAGAGCTAGTGCAAGAAAACACACACTATATCCATGGTTTGGATGCAACTGCTTTTGAACACCCCTTGATCCTGTAATATTTCTCATCAACATAAATGCATAGAGCTGCTGGCTTTCATCGAATATGGAAGATCTACACAACTAATAAACTAATTTCTTTGCCTGTCCTCGCTACCCTTTCCTCGTTAAAGATACAATACCATCAGTTAGCTATGGCGTATGGTTAACGTTTGAAATTTAGCAATCTGACTAATTAGCTGTTTTTACATTTCCCCCTACCTATGCTCTTCATCTTCTTACCAGGCTGGAATGAATTCATATCTTGTTTAATTACTGACTGTTATATGCTAGCTTTTGTAGGGTATCTCCATTATAGAAAGGATAGTGAGAATGGCAAATTTGGTCACCAACTGTGGTTTCAGTCCATCTCCTGCTGTTAAGGCACACTGCAACTCACCAAGTTATGGCCACAATTTCATCCGATTACAAAATTCGAAATCTTCAACTTCAAGTCTGAACCTCAAATCATCTTCCAAGAGGTCAAATAAGTTATATGTTACTTGTGCTAGTACTGCTGTACAAGGACAGACACAAACACCTCTTACTGGTAGTCAGCAAGCATCTGGGCAATCATCCTCTAAACCCAAAAAAGTTATGGTTATTGGTGGAGATGGGTACTGTGGCTGGGCAACTGCACTTCATCTGTCCAACAAAGGTTATGAGGTTGCTATTGTTGATAATCTTGTTCGACGCCTTTTTGACCATCAACTTGGCCTTGATTCACTTACTCCCATAGCTTCCATTCAAAATCGCATTCGCCGATGGAAATCTCTTACGGGGAAGACAATTCAGCTCTTCATTGGTGATATATGTGACTTTGAATTCCTTTCAGAAGCTTTCAAGTCTTTTGAGCCAGATTCTGCTGTCCACTTTGGTGAACAAAGATCAGCACCATTTTCTATGATTGATCGTTCACGAGCAGTATATACACAAAACAACAATGTTATTGGAACACTTAACGTATTGTTTGCCATGAAGGAGTTTAGTGAAGAGTGTCATTTGGTTAAACTAGGAACTATGGGTGAATACGGAACTCCAAATATTGACATTGAAGAGGGATTCCTCACTATTACTCATAATGGAAGAACTGATACCTTACCTTACCCAAAGCAAGCAAGCTCCTTCTATCATCTAAGTAAAGTGCACGACTCTCACAACATAGCATTTACTTGCAAGGCTTGGGGTATAAGGGCCACAGATCTTAACCAAGGCGTCGTCTATGGAATCAGAACAGATGAAACTGCTATGCATGAAGAGCTGTCCAATAGGTTGGACTATGATGGAATCTTTGGAACAGCACTAAATAGGTTCTGTGTTCAGGCAGCTGTAGGTCACCCGCTTACAGTTTATGGAAAAGGCGGTCAGGTATGTATTTCTTGTCTGCCTTAGTAGTGCAATATGGAGGATTTCCTGTTTGGTGTTTGTCTTGCTTTATACACACTTCTCTGTATAAAGTTTCTCCTTTCTTAATTACTTAATGTGATTCAGTACTATTCTTATAACTAGAACTTTTAGTATTCACTATACGTTTTCATTTCCTCTTTGGAAGTTAAAATACCAGTGAAGTAGCTTTTGTTACCTTGGAGCCTCAGGAAGTCAGAGCTAATCGCCACCATTTGCATTTCCTCGTGATTTTCATGAATAAAATTGGAGAGTGAATCATGTAAGCTTTGCAGATAATTCTGTACTGATATTGAACACTTTGCATATACTCCCTCTATAAACAAATATAAGAGTGATCTAAACGCTCTTTATTTCTTTCTAGAGGGAGTACTATTTTTTTTTTCTGATGACCCAACAGCTCCAATATGTAATCATCACAACTTGCAATATGCCATATAGACATGTATTTGTGTGTTGGTCGGAGACTGTTTTAAGCCTGCGACCAATCTTAGGGGTTACCTTTTTGTTATAATTTTGTCAACCGCACTGTTGAATTGAAAAACTAAGGAGCATTATCTTCTTCACTTTCAAACACTATAATTTGATTACCAGCTGGAAATGGAATTGTTTCATGGACTACTAGCAATTGTGTAGTTGGTTCAGGTTTCAACTCGATCATGTATTTCTAGTTACGTGTCCAAATAATTTTCTTAGGCCATCATCATCTGACATACATACAATTTACTGAACAAATTTCTTGTGCCATTCTCCAGACCCGTGGATACCTGGACATCAGGGACACTGTGCAATGCGTGGAGCTAGCAATCGCAAACCCAGCCAAACCAGGCGAGTTCAGAGTCTTCAACCAGTTCACGGAGCAGTTCTCGGTCAACGAGCTAGCCAAGCTGGTGACCGCCGCGGGAGCGAAGCTGGGGCTGGACGTGCAGACCAAGTCGGTGCCCAACCCGCGCGTGGAGGCGGAGGAGCACTACTACAACGCCAAGCACTCGAAGCTGTCGGAGCTCGGGCTGGTGCCCCACCTGCTGTCGGACTCGCTCCTCGACTCGCTGCTCAACTTCGCCGTCCAGTACAAGGACCGGGTAGACACGGCGCAGATCATGCCCAGCGTGTCATGGAAGAAGATGGGGGCCAAGCCAAAGACGGTCTCTGTATAGAGCGAGGGAGGGAGGGAGGGGAGGGAGCTTCCTTCCCCTTTGTTGTGTGGCGTATGATGTCAACAATGGCATTGACATTGTATCCTGTTGCTGTGTGTAATGTAGCAGTAATAATGTAGCGATAGTAGTTTGATGCACGCTGTAGTGAGGTGTGGAAGTTGTTAGATTTTATTTTTGTCCTACACGGACGGTAACTGCAATTGAACAGCAGCTGTGCAGTATATTACACTTACAGTTTGTCTAATTCACATTTAGATGTTTTTTAAGGATGTCACATCTAAGCTTCCACAAATAACGTAGCAACGAGGAACGAAAAAAAAGCTAGAACAAAAAACAGACCACAAATATAATTATGTCACATCTAAATGTGTCCTAAACAGATCCTTACTCTTATTATTTCTAACTAGCGATTTTAGCTCGAGTGGGTGTTACTGCAGATTTGCAGCTACGTAGCACTGGTTATTTTTTTTTGAAACAAGGTAAAAGATTTGCCATTTTCATTAATTAAGAAGAGGTTTCGTTACAAGCAGACCGCCAAGCGGTCAAAAGGCAAAACAATTACTCTCGCGGCATTACATTACGCAAATGTTTGGTGCCCGCAATGGTCCAAATGGACACTTCTTCTTTGATGCATCGCATGATGATCGCCAGCGGTGCCGCCTTGTTCCTGAAGACGCGCGCATTCCTTTCCTTCCAAAGTTCCCATCCCACAAGAAGGAGAAGGAAAGATAGAGCTTTCGTGGGTTGACTATTATTAGTGAGTAGCGCATCCCACCAAGATTTGACCGTGTTAAACTGGAGCCAAGGAGTCGTGGGGATATTTAGACCAAGCCAGGCAAACACCTCATTCCAAACTCTAGTAGAGAACCTGCACTTGAAGAGGAGGTGAGCTGCAGATTCTTTCACCTGACGTGGCACTGGTTATGATGCTGCCCTAACGGTGTTGTACATGCACGTTGCACAGTGGGAATGCAACGGCGCTCAATACATCATCACGGTGCAAAGAGAAGAAAAGTAAACAGTAGCATTTCCCTCGAGACCCAGAAAGAACTGAAGCATTTTTTGTTGGAAAATGGTCGGCAAGGGAAGCAGCCGAACGTGCAGCACACTGGACTGGACCCTCCCGGAACGACCGCCCTGGTGGGCACATGAGCACGGCGGTACGTGCAGCGATCGATCAACAGCGACAGCCGAAGCAGGACCGCCGGATCCAGCAGGACGCCGATAGGCGCCAGACCCACTATTCATTCCACAAGCAGCTCGGTCGTGACAGATCGACGACGAAGATGTAAGCATACAAGAAAATTATACGACACCCTTGACGCTGGCTGGACGCCAGATCTTCACCACCGTCGAGCCGATAACCACCCGACCGTATGCTTCCGGCCGGGTCCGAGCAGCTGTGTTTCATTTTCATGGCCTAGTGCATATGCTCGTGGCCGGCCGTGGGCGCGTGCGGTGCGGGATACACAGGCCAGGTCGCGCGGCTGATGAGACACCGCTGCCTGCTCGTCAGTCGTCACGCTCGCAGTCGCAGCATTGGGCTGTGCCGGCCTGATGCTTTTTTGGGACGCGCCGGTCGTGTTACCAAAAGGCACGCGACAGAGGCAATAATCGCCGGCGTTGTGTCAAACCTGTCCATGTTCTGCCTTTGTGTTTTGTGCCGACGGGGGTGAGCTAGCGCACCTATGTTATTGCCTCGATCACTACCTGGCATGGCCTGGCCTAGCTACCATCTGAGCTGAGTAAATTACACAGAAGTACCACAATTCGGGCATTGGAAGCAGATTGGTACCAAGATTGGTAATTTTTACATGTCAGTACCAACTTTGAGGCGAGACGTTGCAAAAAAGGCTAAAACTGATGTTTATACGTATTGACGGGAAAACTGACCAGTTGGGCCCGTCTGTCAGGTGCCGACGTGGCATCTTTTTTACAGAAAACCCCCTTGCTTTATACTTAATCCCATAGATGCCCAATTATTTCGGGAAAAAATGCTCCTATAAGAGCCTTTTTTTTTCGTTACTAATTTCCACCATCGATTTGGACTCGTTTGAAATTTTGCGTCGATTTGAACGAACAAATAAAAGAAACGAAAATTCGGGCATGGCCTGGGTGAGCTAGCGCCGACGGGGGTGAGCTAGCGCACCTATGTTATTGCCTCGATCACTACCTGGCATGGCCTGGCCTAGCTACCATCTGAGCTGAGTAAATTACACAGAAGTACCATAATTCGGCCATTGGAAGTAGATTGGTACCAAGATTGGTAATTTTTACATGTCAATACCAACTTTGAGGCGAGACGTTGCAAAAAAGGCTAAAACTGATGTTTATACGTATTGACGGGAAAACTGACCAGTTGGGCCCGTCTGTCAGGTGCTGACGTGGCATCTTTTTTACAGAAAACCCCTTTGCTTTATACTTAATCCCATAGATGCCCAATTATTTCGGGAAAAAATGCTCCTATAAGAGCCTTTCTTTTCGTTACTAATTTCCACCGTCGATTTGGACTCGTTTGAAATTTTGCGTCGATTTGAACGAACAAATAAAAGAAACGAAAATTAAATCCCGCCCAGGATTCGAACCATCGACCTGCTTTTCCGCAGCGACGCGTGCTAGCCACCCCGCCAGAGCATCGCTCGCGACACAAAGCAGGCGAAGCTCTTCTTATATAGCTCAGGAACGCTGGGCCGGCCCACCCAGGCCTGCAATTTTTTTTTCGTTTCACACTTACCTGGCGCGCGTGTTGCGGCTCATTCATGGGAGCTCCTAGTCGGCGCTGTTAGGCCGGCCCATTTGTTTTTCCCTTTCTGCCAGAAACTGCAAAAATTATACGCAGGTAACAAGACTTGAACACTAGACCTCACGAACCAATTCCGGGTGCGCCAACCACTACGCCATGGTAAGACACATGCTTACCATCTTCGTCGGCTTCCTTTTATTCTTTCTGCAGCTCGCGAACCTCAGACCCTTCCGCAAACTGTTTTTTTTAATCTTTTTTTCTCTTTTTATGTAACGGTTTTGTTCGCCTTCTTTCTTTCCTTTTTTGCTAAATACGTGCACCTTTTGAAAAAAAATCAAAGATTTTTTTTTCAAAATGCACGAGTTTTTTAAAAAATTGAAAAAAAATCATTGGTTTTTTTAAAAGTTCATCAAATTTTAAGAAAGTTCATCGCATCTAAAAAATGTTCATCAAATTTGAGAAAAGTTCATTAAAACTGGAAAAGCTTCATCGAATCTGAAAAAAAGTTCATCGAATCTGAAAAAAATCATCAATTTTGAAAAAAAACATCAGATTTGAAAAAATAGTTCAACGGATTTCAAAAAAAGTTCATCAAGTTTGGAGAAGTTCATCAGATATGAAAAAAAGTTCATCGGATTTCAAAAAAAGTTTGTCAAACTGATTACATAATTTCTTATTTTATACTGAACATTTTTAATGCATGATGAACTTTTCTTTAGAAACGGTGAACATTTTTCTTATAATATGAACGTTGAACATATTTTGAATGCAAATTGAATATTTTTGTAATATATGTTGAAATATTTAGCTCCTTAATAATACTAATATGTAATCGCAAAAAATATATGTATTAATATTCATGATTAAAAAAAACAGTAAACCAGTGTGCAGCCTCGCTGGGCCAACCGCCGGCCCAACGTCTTTGGGCTAGTATAAAAACTGTCTAGCCTGAAGTACGTCGCGAGCGCTGCCGTGGCCGAGTGGCTAGCGCACCGCGCTGCTGAGCGACGGTCGGCGGTTCGAATCCTGCGCTGGATTCAATTTTGTTTTGTTTTATTTATTCGTTTAAACCGACGCAAATATTCAAACGAGTCCAAATCGATGGTGAATGTTACGAACGAAAAAAAAGACTCTTATAGGAGCAATTTTTTCCGAAATAATTGGGCATTTATGTGATTACGTACAAAGAAAGGGGTTTTCTACAAAAAACATGCCACGTCGGCACCCGACAGGCGGGCCCAACCGGTCAGTTTCCCATACGTATAAATAACAGTTTTAGCCTTTTTTGTAACGTCTCGCCCCAAAGTTGGTACTGACACGTAAAAATTACCAATCTTGGCACCAATCTGTTTTCAATGCCCCAATTGTGGTACTTCTATGCAATTTGCTCATCTGAGCTTGACAACAGCGCGAGTAGATTTGCACGGAATTGCTCCACACACGACATCATGTGGCCGATCCATGAACGACAATAAATCCAGTGAACAGAGTGTGGGCTGTGGACAGAGTTTCGGTGGCTGGGATTCATCCTCGTGCACTGGTCGTCTGAATTCTGGCGCTTTATTTATGCCATTAAGGACAATTGATCATGAGCTTGCTGTTTACTAGTACTACTACTACTACACTTGGTACTGCTGAAACTAGCTATAGTAGGCTGCGTCAATTTTTGGTTGCGACTGCACTGTGATCAAGCATTAAACATGTGAGGTGAAGGCACAATTAATGGTGGAAATCTCACTAGCCATAATGCCCACATGATCCATTGTTTACGCCATATCATTGGTACTCTCTTCGACTTAACAGCAACTCTAGCATACTCATTTCCTAAAGGGCTCCCTCTAAAACCATTTTAAGGTTTGTCAGCTCGGTGCTTTCTTAGGTTCCCTAAAATGGTAGTCTCTGTATTTTCTTTTCCACTTCTCCTCCGCGCGCTTTTTTCGTGTTTCAACATCAGACAACTCAACAACATTTCAAATCCATAATTTTTATTTTTGGGGTTTTTATCATTTATGCCACTAATTGTGTTTTACTACTCAGTTTTGCCATTAAAAATTACAACTGCTCAAAAATACCATCGTTCTATGAGATGTTTTCCCAAAAATGTCATTAGATATAAAAAATTTGACATCGTTCCATTAAATGTTTGCTCAAAAATGCCATTAGACATCATTATTATCAGGTCAAACTCGTTGATCATGTTATATGACAAAAATACCCCTATACCCACCTGCCAGCTATCTCTATCTCACAATGATAAGTGTGGACCCCACTTGTTAGGAGTAAGCAAGCGAATAATTTTAGAGAAAATAAGAACGTTGTTGGGATCAAGTGGGACCCACATTTTATTGTAGTGAGATAGAAGGGGAGCTGACATGTAGGTCTATAGGTATTTTGCTCATTATGACATGGCAAACGAGATTTGAGCTGATAATCATGGTGTCGAGTGGCATTTTTAAGCACGCGCCTAACGAAGCGATGGTTTTTTTGACCAGTTGAAATTCCTAGTGGCAAACCTGAGCAGTGAGACACAACCAGTGGCATAAATGATAAATAAAACCCTTTTTTTAAGTCGAACATAACATTACAGTGTCCAAGTGCATGAATATATCATGATAATCATCACCCAAAAGCTCGATGTGGTAAAACTCAAGTACTCCTTCTTTGAAGAATTTAGAATGTGGAAGCGCAAAGCCCGCACTTGAAGAACTTGATCATGACCATAGTCCACACCTCTTGGGGCCGGGTGGGGTGGCTTCACCCTACATTGGCTTTTACCCCCGTTATGTGAGAGGGCAACAACAACCATTGTTGCATCAGCAGTTTCAAATTGGTCGCACCGCACAAGTTCTTCTTCCAATCCGATGACGGTGCCTCCACATTAGACTACTCGGATATCTTGAAGAACTCTACTCCAAAGCGGCGCCGAAATGGCGAAAATGGCTTGAGATCCAGGCTCCATTTGTCCACTCCTTTATAGACCCCTCACGCCTTGAAGGGTCACATCGACGACGATCGGCCCAATCATTCTCGCAACCCGTTATTTCTGCATGATTGATAATATGGGTGCGTGATTGAAAGTAGGAATTCCCACATCGTTCAATTATCTCTGGTGCTTGGGTCCATCGATGATGACCTTTAGGTTAGCTAAGGTGTGTATGTTTTGTCATCACCACCTACAATGACAGTGGTTGGCCATCCGAATTTTTTGGAGTGTGTGGGATGTTTCACATTCTGGACTAGGGATATCTTATTTAGAGCACGGTGTTGCCTCAAGTAAGCTCTCGATGACTTAGAAGGGCCCCGTGAGCCTGACTAAATTGTCCAACTGCTTCTCGAAACCTAACCAAAGATATCTTGTCAGGAGGATCTGAAAGGTGGCGGACTAAAGGTTTACATTTGATTTCATTTCCAGTGGTCACAAACCTAATTTCGCATAATGGCGAGGTCTTGTGGGTGTGTAGTGCATTAATACTGAAAAGGTATACCATCTGGGTGAGAATAGATCGTATCAAACTATTGGTGCATATATTCCCCGAGGCTTGCATTTGGAGGAGATAAGGACATCCGCGATGATTCCAAGAGCATGATTAGATCATATTGTATTACACTAGAGACCGATGACTTACCGACGAATAAAATGCCTGTACATGAGTACCCAAGGTCCCATGCCAAAGACTCGAGCCATTTGTGAAGACTTAACACCTCGAAACCTAGCTTGTAGGTCCAATCTAGCTCTTGTACTCTTGTCTCATATCAATACATGAATAATAGGAGGTAGGTCCATCACCCATCGAGGAGGGAGGGGCGGCCTTAACCTGCGAAAACATGTGTCTTCATAGTCTCCAATGAGCTCCCCTGGGGCTCCAACCTCCTTCTCCTTCTCCCTCCCCCTATGGATACTTCATACTTCTACGTGACTAACTATAAGTAAGCCCACCCAAGAAGTGCTCTATCCTTCGCCCTAGAGCCTTCGGTATCATAGCCAAAACAATGATAATATACGGTAGTAAGATCGGTGGTACATTCATCGTCTACGCCATGCATGCTTATAAAGGTTTTGCAACAAGGATCAAAGGGTACTTAAGCGCAGGCGCAAAGCCGTTGGACTCAACGACCTCGAATGACTCTGGGTTCTGGCCATCCGGGAGCACCCAATCAAAATGATACATCATGTTCGCTAGTGTGAGTTCCACCAGCCGCAGCGCAAAGGCGATACCAGGGCATCCCCTCCTCCCCGCGCCGAACGGTATGAACCGGGGATCCTTACCGCCGTAGTCCATGGCCCTGTCCATGAACCGCTCTGGCCGGAACTCATCGGCGTCCTCCCACGACTCGCTGTCCCTTCCGATCGCCCATGCGTTGATCATGATCCGGGTCTTGGCTGGGATGTCGTAGCCGTGCAGCCGGGTGTTCTGAATCGACTCGTGCGGGAAGAGGGGTATGGGCGGATGTAGCCGTAGTGCTTCTTTCATGGCAGCGTGGAGGAGGCTCATCTTCTCCAGCTCCTCCTCAAGCACTCCTCCCTGCGTACCGGCAGCAACTTGTCTCACCTCTGCTTGCACCTTCTCCATTTCTGTTGGATTTTTAACAAGCTCGCCATCGTCCATTCTATCGCCTTATAGATCGTGTCCGTGCCTCCTATAAACATGTCCTGCAATGTGGAGAAGGATCGATCGTGTTAACACGTGGGCTATTGCTAATGGTGCTAGGTTACAACAGTACTCCCTCTGTAAACTAATATAAAAGTGTTTAGATCACTGTAGTGATTCTTGATCGAATTAGTTTACGGAGGGAGTAGCAGAGCAGTAGGCCGTGGTTCTTAATCGAATTACCAAGATGGGCGCCTTGACATCAATCCGGTCCAGCCTAAACCCCTGATCACCATCCTTGAAGATCGAGAGCAAGCCGTCCAGGAGGTCATGCACCTCCTCACCGTCGTTTGCTCGGCTCCCCTCGTGCTCCGCGAGCGTCTTCTCGATGACACTGTCGAGCTCAGCCGTCGTCCTACCGATCCTCGCGTCGAGCCCCGTCGCCCAGTCCACCCACCGGAGCCGCGGGAACACGTCGCTAACGGCGATGGTCCCGAGCAGCTCGGTGAGCTCCTTCATCATCTGGCGGACCACCCCTGGGTCGACGCCGCCGAGCCTGTTCCCGAACGCCGCCTTGGAGATGACGGTGTTGGTCAGGCTGATGACGAGCTCGGTCACGTTGACTGCTCCCTCCGGGGCGCCGGCGCGGATACGTTCCACGAAGCCCATGACCTCCTGCTGCCGGAGGGAGCGGAAGGAGTCGACCCGCTTCGCGCTGAGGAGGTGCAGCACGGCGATGCGGCGGAGCTGGCGCCACCGCTCGCCGTAGGGGCTGAAGGCCATGTCGCGGCAGCCGTAGAGCGTGCCGCGGGCGGTGCGCGGCTGCGGCCGGCTGCAGAAGACGTGGTCCTGGGTTTTGAGCACGGCCTCGGCCAGGGAGGGCAAGGAGACCACGACGGTGGGCACGGAGCCGAGGCGGAGCAGGAAGAGCGGGCCGTAACGCCGCGCGAGGGCTTGCAGCCTCCGGTGGTGGCGGCCCCGGCCGAGCTGGTGCAGGTTGCCGATGACGGGCAGCGCCGGAGGCGAAGGTGGCGGTGATCCGCGTGCGCCGGCCTTGCGGCTTCTAGCAACGAGGAAGATGCAAGAGGCTACGAAGGCGAGGCAGAGCACTGCCACGGTAGAATCGAGCTGAAGAGAGGCCATGAGCGCCATGATTCTGACCTTCGAGCACGTGTGTGGAATGGCCACGTAGAAGATCGGGCTGAACTTAAGGCGTACGTGCGTCGGTGCGTGCCGTTGGCTAGTGTGTGTGCGTGTGGATTGGGTAGGATAGGGAGGGGTCCGCGGAAGAGAAGGGTTGCCTGATGGATAGATACGGCTGAGGAACGACCGTGCCGGCACGGTGGCGGGAGGAAGGAGCTAGCGGAGTGGCATGCCGCATGCAGAGTCGCGCACGGAAGCGAGCGCGAGGATGGCGACGGACAGAGACCCTGCGGGCAGGCGGCAGCTCGGATCGGACGAATCACATTCAGCGATGGCTGTTGCACGGCCGTGAAACGGACGCGGCTCGTCTGACGTACGGCCCACACACTGACGTGTGGGCCCGGACCTACCCGTCAGCAGCCCAACGGTAGGGGATCCAGCTCCCCGTGAAACATGTGCTCTCCATCGGCACGGCACACGTACCGCGTATGCACAGCGACGTCGTCCGTCCCGGTCTCAATGCAGTGGAGCGATGCCGACCGGGGAAGAGGCGTCAGGTTTTTCTTTTTCTTTTTTTTATTGATGAGGGAAAAAAAGGGAGAAGAGAAGGTGAGCAGCGCAGCGCAGGCGCATGCATGCGACGCAGATATTCCCCGCCTCGAATAAGTTTTTTTACCGGAGCGGGGATGTACCGGTGCTCAATCCACCATCCCTCAGTGCTTCTATATCCGTGCGGGTGGACCCTGCTAGTTTTTTATTTCCACCTCAGATTCCAGGATACAAGCTGTATACAACTGCAAATACGTGATGGGCCCCACGAAAGAGAGGATATCAACCCCACGCCGCTGTTTCCTTCCCGCATCGATCTCCTTTCTCCCCACCCCATCTCTTGTCAGTTCGTTTCATGGGGCTCCGTCGTAAATCCCGGCTATGGCCGCCGCGAGATCCGCCTTCTCCAGCAACATCCGGCACCGGATTCAGGGTTCCACCGCAGGCACCTACCACGGGGGGCACATAGAAGGCCGGCGGCGGCGCGGCGGTACCATGAGGCCGACGTGGAGCGGGGGCCGAATCCACTGGCCGTCGGGGGGTGGCTGATCCGGCGAGGTTCCTCGATCCCGCCAACCAGAAGCCCGTCCACCGGCAGCCGTGGTCGCCGTTGGTGTCTCCGTTCAGCACGGGCACCATGACGGGTCATCACGCAAGGTTGTCACCGGATCCGGCGACACCAAGCCTGACTACCAGCGGATCTGGTGAGTAATGAATCCCGTCTCCCCTAACCTCTCTCCATATGTATTTCACGATTTCTGATTTATTTAGCATGATTTGAACACTCTATGTTTCTTTACCACCAGATCGTCGGCCTCCTCTGCTACTTAAATTTCAGGATTTTTGAATGTTTGTGACAGAGAGCATGTGTTGTAGTTTTTTGAAAGAGACCAAAATCTATGAAATTACTTCCCTGTAATATATTTGAATGCGGTGTTGCTAGTTGTGAAACAAAGTAATGTGAAATGGTTTGTGGCACAATGTGAAATTTATATTTCAATCTGGTGAAACTGGATTACTTCAGTATGTCGAAGTGAGATTGAATGATTTTCAGTGAGATTTGTAATGATTTTGAGTGAGATTGGAATGATTTTCAGTGAGATTTGAATTGAAATAGCTATGTGTAGTTGAGATGTGCAAAAAAATGTGAAACTGGGATTTCAATGTGTTGTTGCAAGTTGCAAAACTAATTTCTGTGAAAATATATGGAATTATATCTCTGAAATATATGAAACAGCTATTTCTCTCATCTGTCATTTGTTATTTCAGTGATATATGTATTGAGAAATTACTTTCCTGGAATATATTTCAATGCGGTGTTGCAAGTTGTGAAACTAATTTCTGGGAAAATATATGAAATTACTTCTCTGAATTATATGAAACTGTTGTTTCTCTTATCTGGTATTTGTTATTTAAGTGAGATGTGTATTGGGAAATATGAAATTACTTCCCTGAAATATATTTAAATGTGTTGTTACAAGTTGTGAAACTAATTTCTGTCAAAATATATGAAATTACTTTTCTGAAATATATGAAACTGCTATTTGTCACATCTGTAACTTGTTATATCAGTGAGATATGTATTGAAATATGTGAAATTACTTTCCTGAAAAATATGTAATTACTTTCTAGAAATATATTTCAATGTGGTGTTACGAGTTGTTAAACTAATTTAAGTGTAATGGTTTGTGCAAGATATGTGAAATTTATATTTCAATGTGGTGAAACCGGATCATTTTAGCTGGTGGAAGTGTTATATATTTATGAAAATGATTGCAATGCTTTTTGAAAGAGTTGAAATGCTATTTCAGTTAGATACTAATTGAAATAGCTATTTGTAGATGAGCTGTGGACAAAAAATGTGAAACTGACATTTCAATGTGTTGTTGCATTTTTTGAAAGAGTTTTATTTGAAATGAATTTAATAAGTTTTCAAATTCTCATATATGTTTTAACAGATTTCATATCAATTTAAAGTGAGAGAGGTTTATCCTTTGAAAAATAAGCTGACATTACTGTATGTGTGTGTGTGAAGTGAGACTGGCTTCAACGTACGTGTAAAGCGAGGGCCGTGGCTGAAATCACGTGGGTAGACCCAGCTGGTCAAATCATGTGGGTGGGGTCCAGCTGGTGAAATACAGGAGGTTAAATAAAGATATGTGGGGAATACAGAGATACAACTTGTAACCACTTTTGATGTGGCAGGATTTTATTGGTTGGAGAACCACCGGTACATCCCGGGAACGGTAAAAAGAGGTTAAGCGGCATCGCGCGTTAGTTTTGGCGCGCATCGTCCAACGCGCTGGATAAAAACCGCGTGCGGGCACCTCGTCGCTGTTACGCCTTCTCCGCCACCTCTTCTAGCGCCCGCCGTCGTTGTGCCTTCTCCCCCCACCCCTCCCCCATGTTTTCCAGCGCACCCGCGGCAACTCGGGCTTCTGCGGCGTCCGCCTCCATCCCTCCAGCGTGTATTATGCGGAGATTCGCTTTGATGATATACACCTTGGGCTCGGAACGTTTGACACCACTCACGAGGCCGCCAGCACATATGAGGCAGCGGCGTGGCGCCTCGGGAGGCCAGGGGTGCAAATGAGCTTCTTCGACGTGCGGACACGTGAGCAGGCGCAAGAACTCGCGCCTTCCCCGCGACTAATCACAGCTGAGGACCGCCGCATCCAGCGGAGGTGGGAGCGCCGCCTCCTCATCGCCGAGGCGGATGAGCACGCCATGGCGGTGTGGCGCGAGCACTTCCCGCGGGATGTCGCCGCCGAGAACAAGTTCTGAGCGCAGAGGAGGACGGAGCGAGCCACGCGTCGGGCATGAGCGGAAGGCACTGGCGGAAGCCCAGTGTGACCTAGGACCTGCGTCGACCTTGGACGAGGATGATCCTCGGGCTCGGAACGTTCGACACCGCCCATAAGGCCGCCCGCGCGTGTGACGCGGCGGCGTGGCGCCTCGGAAGGCCACAGGCGCAAATGAACTTCTTCGACGTGCGGATGCGCGAGCAGGCATAGGAACTCGTGCCTCCCCCGCGACTAATCACCGCCGAGGACCGCCACATCTAGCGGAGGCGGGAGCGCCGCCTCCTCAGCGCCGAGGCGGATGAGCACGCCATCTTGGTGTGGCGCGAGCGCTTCCCGTAGGATGTCGCCGCCGAGAACGAGTTCTGAGCGCAGAGGAGGACGGAGCGAGCCGCGCGTCGAGCGGACAGGCGTGAGTTAAAGGCACTGGCGGAAGCCCAGTGCGAGCTGGGACCCGCGTCGACCTGGGACGAGGATGATCCTCGATGGGTCGACGCGTTTCTGTCATCGAACTACACCACCGAGGAAGACGAGTAGTAGTTATCTAGTTTATCGTTGACACGTTTATCTACTATATTTGCATCGTAGCCTTGTTTTTATCTAGTTTTATTTGTATCATATGGACTAGCTTGTGATGTTGGGCTTGAATTATGCTATGAATTTAATCTATGTGTTGTTTCATATTTTCCGTATATGTTGCTTCAATTTTTCCAAGCATCGGCTGCTCCTACGTACTGGATTTGCAGCGCCTGCTGGCTACAGCGCCTGGTAAAGCAAACGCCCCCGTGCGCGCTAAGAAAAATGCTATTTCAGCATTAAAAAATAATTTAACGTGCCGCGTAACCGCACGTCCGTTGGACTGTTTGATACGCTTTGGGTGTAGCGTACGTACCTACGGTTTTGCTGGTGCTTTTTACCTTTTCTAAATTTTATTTATTTTACTCTTTGTAAATACATATGTGGGAAATGTTTGATTGAACTAATTTCATAAAAAATATTAACTGGTATCTTGAAATGTTCATCGTATAATAAAAAAGTTCACGTATTCAAAAAATGTCGTCATGCATTTAAAAATGTTATTGCGTATTAAAACATTGTTCAAAGTGGACTAAATTTTTTTATATTGTACTATAAATCATTCATTGTGTAGTTTAAAAAGTGTCCGGTCAATGAAAAATAATTCATGTAATTTTTAAAAATGCGTTCACATGTTTTAACAAATTTTTAGTGCATTTTGAAAAGTGTTTGCACATTTTAAAAATAGAAGAATAAAAGAAGCAAACATAACAGAAAAAGGCACAGAAATAGGAAGAATGACCAGAAAACGCGAAAATAAGAAGAAAATATTTTTTTAAAGAAAGGAAAAAATAAAGCCAGAGAAACCAACAGAAAAGACCAAACGCAAGCCAACACAAAAAACTGCACGAGAGAAACCCAAGTTAGAAGAATCAGAAAAACCAAACTAAACTGGGCCGTGACGAGGATAGAGTGACCCTTTAGACTTTTCTCCAGCAAGATTAAAAAAAAAGATTAACGAATGCATGTAATGTGGATCCGGTTTGGTACAGCGATGATGGTGTCGTATATACAGGTTGCGCAAATGTGCAGTAGAAGTTCAACAGCGTACAATTCATCACGGAGCAAATAGAACAAAAGCAG